ATTATTTTGAATTAATTTATGCTAATTAGTATATCATTCAAAAAGTGAATTTCAATTAAAAACAAAAAAATTTTTATTTGTTCAAAAACTGAAATATGTTTGCTTCGTTTTATTGACGAAAAGATAGCAATTTCAACCTTTTTGATTTAATTTAACTTTTAATAATTTTATTTTTATAGTTTTTTTCAAAATCTAATCAATCATTTTCAGTGAGATTAGAATCGAAAATGCAATCATAGATATTACTTTGACTTAAAAGATAACTTCGATGCCCAATTCATTTTAAAATATCATAAATAATAATAAGAATGAATTACTTACGATAATAATGATAATAAATGGCGGATAAATTATTCCTCAAAATGGTTGTAATTATTATTCAACGAGTAAAATATATGAAAATATTCAGAAAATGAAAGACTTAGCAACAATTATAAGAATGTAAGGTTAATGACACTGTACTTTGCTGCGCAAATAAAACAGTCATATTGGATTGAGCATTTTTTACAGAAGCAATAACAAATGAAATTATTTTTTATTGTCTCTGACCTTGAAAATCGAAGGAGGCAAATGTGATGAACTAAACTAAACAAATTTCTTCATTTTATAAAAAGCAAAACCATTTTTGATTCATTGCACTCAGTTCAAAAATGTACAAATCTCTTCTTGACGTTAATTCATCAAACTTTTCCACAAACAAAACTATTCTTTGTAACCATTTGGATAACTTTAATAACAAAAAGATTTACATTTGCTTTGCACACTAAAACAAATAATTGATAATTCTGATAATGTACAAATTAATAGGAAAATATGCAAATGTTTGTAGATGATGGAAGATTTGAATTGCTTTAAAACTGAAAAGAGTGTAAATTTGATACTGTCCTTTGCTAATTATATCAATGTGAATATTAATTATTTGACAAAAAATAATAAAGCTGAATTTTAAAACACATCACAAGACGGTATTTGTATTAGTTTACAAGCTTTTACGAGAAACTAGATAGTTTATATCATGTACAATCTGGGCTCAGGTCACTAAGTTGTCATATTACTTTAAGGTTTATTATACAGGTCAATCAGATACATCAGCCGTTTAATCAAGGGAACAGTTTTGAGCAATAAATAAAATACGGTGCTTTCAAAATTAAGCTAAAAAAGCACAGAAGAGCCTGAGAAGTTTCCAATAATTATAAAGCAAGTCAAGTCTCAATAAAATATCAAAAGTACTTCAGAATATTACACATTTTTGTGCAACTTTGCTGAAAGATTGTACTTACAGCGGAATTAAAGCCCCGAAATACTTTGCTTAGTTAGGGGATTCATTGTTTAGTGCTAAGGAACAAAATATACTTAAAACTCTTTATTTTTATTTCAGACAATAAGAATTATATATCAAATGCAAACAACGTCAACTTCATTTTTTGCAGCATAAGATAACAAAGACCATAGAAATACTGGACAACTCAGAAGTATTAAATAGACATATTAATGATAATTTTAAAAAATAACCATCAAAATTTGAATTGCATTGCATTTGCTTAAATGTTAATATATATAAAATATAATCCGAAAATACAAGATTTAACAATTTGCGCGGTTATAAAATTTGATCCTTATAACTATTTGAATATTGATAAGTGAGCAATTCAAAAAACAGCAATTGATCTAATGATCTGTTCAAGACTAAGGTATTTTGAATTACTTCAAACCTTGAAAAACCTGCAAAACAATTTTCTAAGAAATAAAAAAATAGCTCATTTTTTAAAATATTTCAATATTTTATTTTAAAAAACGTTTGAATACTCGTTGCAAAAGAGTTGAATGCATTGATAAAAATATAAGCAAAATATAAATATTACAAATATAATACATTAAAAACTTTTAAATGCAACAACAAAACTCAATGTGCGCTCTCGTCGAAAAGTTATATGTACAGAAAAGTGAAAAAAATTACAAGCTTTTTGCTCCATACCAATGATAAGGTATTTTGAATTACTTCAAACCTTGAAAAACCTACAAAACAATTTTCTAAGAAATAAAAAAATAGCTCATTTTTTAAAACATTTCAATATTTTAAAAATAATAACATGCCATGAATTAACTTCATTTTTAATTGCATTCTATAACTTTTGAACATATAAAACGTGAGCTGACTTAATTACAAGTTAACGACCGCTAGACTTGTTTTATACGCACTACAAGTAGAGAAACAGATTACGTAATGGAAGGTTTGATCATAAACTTCACCTTCAACCTGAAGGCTGATCAAGAGTCAAGATAATATGTTTTCATTTCGGGCCTTCTGCAAACTATCTCTAATAAAACCGAAATGGATTCTTCGTTGTTGCAAAATGAATTCAAACCCTTTTAAAGAGAAATTGAAGATGTAAAGTAAATTTTCTTTTATTAGGAAGCGTTTGATCTTGTTACGTTCCTTCTTGCGCTTAGCATAATACGTTTGGTGTGATTTTAACGTCACGAATTGTTCATAGACACTTTTCAATAAAATTTTTTTTAGTTATTTTATTTGTAAAAAAATAAAATATACCTTATTTGTTCTTACTTATGTTGTAATATTGAAATCAAATATTTTTACTTATTGAGTCTAAGAGAATTTTCGGGTGTAGTCATTTTGTATTTCAGATTCTATCACTCGTTGCAGTGACAATGGGCAAATATGAGAAAGGTACGCCGAAAGAAATTGCTAACAGATGCAAGTCCAAGGGCTTGCAAAAATTGAGATGGTATGTATAAGGATGATGTATTTTCATTTATACATTTTGTGTTCATTTTGTGTTTGTATATGAAGCTAATTTCTCGATACATATATGACTCTAAGCATACGTTCGGTTCAGGTTTTGTCAAATGTGTAAGAAACAGTGTCGTGATCAGAATGGATTTAAGTGTCATTTGACGAGTGAAACTCATCAGCGACAGTTGCTACTCTTTGCTGAAAATCCAGGCACTTACCTGGAGGAATACAGCAGGGAATTTGAAAGGAATTTTTTGAAAGTGAGATTTGTAGTGGTTTGAAAAACATTACTTTTTTTTGGATTCAGATACATTTATCTTTTCAAATGGAACAAATTACAATTTTTTGCAGTTACATCATATATGTAGTCCCGAGAAATTAGTTTTTGATTAATCAATTTTTTTTAGATTAAGATTGAAGAGTCGTAAATTTTAGGTTATTTATTTTTGTTTCAGATATGTAATATGTGATTGTTTTGTTTGAGATGTGATAAAGTTTCTTGCGTATCTTTGTTTTGCGAAAATGAGCGTAAATGAAGAACAAGGTTCATGGATTGTTTTAGGTATTACGAAGCACTTTTGGGACAAAACGTGTCCGTGCCAACGAAGTATATCAAGAATATATCCGTGACAAATTGCATACACATATGAACTCTACAAAGTGGCATACATTAACCAATTTTGTTATTTACCTTGGGGAAGCTGGTATATGTCGTGTGGATCAAACAGAACGAGGTATGTTTTATACCTTGTGAATCAATATTTGTTATAAATATTCAGTACAAGCAGAGTTGTCTTATTTACGCTGTTTTACTGAACTATACCGCAACATTGTACAATATCATTTTCAATTTTGGATAGTGTCTTCTTGTTTGTACAGTTCGTCATTTTGATTGGGCATTTATTATGGCATATATTGATTTACAAAAAGCTTTGTAGTTCAGATGTATGTAGTCGTGTGTATCTATTCAATTATACTGTTTAATGTAACATCAGGTTAAACACCTGGCTAATAATTGGGAACTCTAATGCAGTGTATCGTTCTTTGGAATTCTTAAAGTTTTAGAAGTAGTTATTTTGGTAAAAATTTTGCTTTTTTGTGGTTTATTTTGTTCCCTTACGTATTTTTCTGTAATTCCAACTGTTTGTGGTATAAATTGTAGGGTGGTATATTGCATGGATCGATCAAGAGGAAGAGTTACGGAAGCAAGCTGCACTTCATAAGGTTAAGGCAGCTTACGACGATGAACACAAACAACAGCAGTTACTAAGAGAGCAAGCAGAAAGGTATTTTCTAAAAGTGTATTACCCCAAGAACAATTTAATTCCAATATTTCTCGAGCTTATATTTCATTTTTTGAAGTCTTAAAATCAGGATTGGTCTGATATTTACTATGTAATATAGAAGGGCAAGCATCAAATGAAAATATGAATAGCTTTTTTTTACTCTCATACATTTTTTTTTTTTTTTACAGAGCTCGTGAGAAGCAACAGCAATCAGTAGAAGAAAAAACAAGTGGTCCTACTGAATTAATTCGTTCTAGTAATGAAGAAAAAATCATTTTTTCATTGGCAGGAAACAAATCTGATGATGTGGTAATTTTTTTTTTTCAAAAAAAGTCTTGAAAGAAAATTTAATAAAACCAAAATTGTTTGTAATTTTATTGTATGTTAGTATGAAAGATTCTATTCAGTATGTAAATATTAAGTATATAAATGTTGTGGAATCTATATTTTTTGTTCACGAGTTATCTAATTCATTTTCTGCAGGATGTTAACCAAGCAAGTTCATCCATGCCTACGATTTCTCATTCCGTGTTTTCTAGAAAAATCAAAGAAGAGATAAAGTATGAAGAAGATACCACAAAGAAGTCGAGAGAATGTAGGAACGAGCAAAGACTTGTGACATCGTCTAAAAAGGAAAAAAAAACGTAATAAGTGAACCGAAGCCGTAATTTATTATTCTTATCATATTTTTCTCAGCAAAAATTAAGATGAATTATTGTCAAGTAAAGCAAAGTAAATATTTGTAATAATTAATAAATGTTACTCGAAATTCGCTTTTTAAAAGTTACAAAATAGTTAAAATTTCAGTCATGATTTTGTAATTGCTTCAGTTTTGTATTGAAGGTTACCAGCGTTGTTTTTTTTATGATAAAATTTCTTTCGCTAATACTTTATCAAACCAGACAGTGATCGAAAGCAAGAAGTGAGGCCAAGAAGGACTGCTTTGGATGAAATAATGGAAATGGAAGAACAACGAAAAGAGAAACAGAACAGAAAAGACAACTGGCTGCATGAAAAGATTATAGTAAAAGTCAGCATTCACTCGTTTTTTGATAAAATTATCGTTTCAAATTTATCCAATTTTCATTTAGCGGATAGTGAGATGTAAAGAAATGGGAGAATTTAGATAACATCGGTTGACGAAGCATTCTGATCAACAGTGATTAAGATTTGGTACTGAGGAGTATAAGAATACTTTCCAAGCAATTATTGTCGTTTTGTAGTTGACTTAATCGTTTTTCGGAGGAAAAAATTTTCAGTGCACTGTTTTCTATGTTTCGATGTTTCAGGTAATGACCAAAAAGTTTGGAAACGATTTTTATAAAGCAAAAGGTGTAATAAGACAAGTAGTGGATGATTTTACTGCTATTTTGGATGTGAATGGTATGTGCTTAAAATTTTTGGTTCATTAATATCCGCTCAGAAAAGAAAAGTTAATACTTCAGCATTGTAAAGTAATAACGCTTTGTTTTGCAAAATTAGTTCAAATAAATGTTCTATTTGCTGAGCATATAATTCTAGGTCATTCATTGGAAGTTGGTCAAGAAAATTTGGAGACTGTGATTCCTGCTGTTGGACGTGAAATGTTAGTTGTTAACGGAGCATATCGAGGGACGAAAGCAATATTGCAGGCTATTAAAGAAGATGAATTTTCTCTGGTTTTGCTTCTTAATGAAGGCTGTGCGAAAGGAAGAGTTATATCGTTACCTTATGAAGATGCATCTAAGCTCGAACGCTGAAAAATTTCTTTTGTTGTTGTGAAAAAAATGCAGTAATCTTTTTTGGACCACCATTAAATCTTTTATTTTTCGATACTATTTGCATATTTGAATTTAAATGAAAATATGTGATATCCTTAAAATCAGTCTCTTATTAGTATCTTGTTCTTACATTTTGGAATTTGTCTTTCACTTAATTATTGTTTGTATATATCTTTGCAAATATTGCTTTCGTATTCTAAACCATGTACTCGTGATAATAATTATTTTGTCGGTTATTGATGATGCATGAAGATCCAATGCATAATTTCGTTAATTTCGTTACTTTTTGGTTTCAAAACAATGCAAAGTTTCTTGTATACTTCACTTCTATCAAACTAAATGAAGTGTATGGGATAGTGTTATTTAATGAGATAAGAGAATGTTTAAAATAGTGCTATATATGGGAAGGAGTAGAGAGCTTGTAGTGGGTATTTCTATTAATAATTTGTCTTGAAGTCTACCTCTAGCTTTTCCTATCAATATAATGTGCACCATTGGTCCCAAAAAAAAAAGTGTTATCTCATAAAAGACCATAATTTATTTCTTCAAATTGCTTTTGTGCAGTGGCTTGGTCGTATATATTTTCGTGTCCTCTTTTACTTGCAAGGAACTAGTTTGTTGATGCTATGATTCTAACTTTTTGGTTTCCTATTGCTGCAGATCCTACTACTTTCAAGATTTGCAAATAAATCCAGTATGCCACCGAAAAAACTTAGTAACAAAGGCAGTAATGCATCGAAAGGTGGCAGCTTGAAAAAAGAGGTCAAAGGTGGTGTGGCCGTTAAAGTCAGACATATCTTATGTGAAAAACAGGTGATATTTCCTAATGTGTGGGGGATTTTGGCATTTCAGTTTCTGATTGTGATGTCTGTCTTATTTTATCTTTACAATAAGGCCAGGTTCCTTGTTACTGCAATTGTTTTATCAAATCAGAAAAGATGATTATAGAGTAAAGCTTTGGAAGCCATCGAAAAGTTGAAATCTGGAATGAAGTTCAATGAAGTGGCTTCCAATTATAGTGAAGACAAAGCCAAATCAGGAGTAACATTTTATTTGCTCGTGTTGTCAGATCTCTTTTTAGTTTCTAATTTCTTAAAAAGTTTTTAGAACCATGCTCATTTAACCACTCTCACAAGAAAGTGAAAATGATAGATTTCAAAATATTCAAATTTAGGATTCTATAAAATTATGGTAGTTACTTTTCATTTCAATGCTCTGAATACACCGTAATTCAGGGTGATCTCGGTTGGATGAGTCGTGGTTCGATGGTAGGAGCATTTCAAGATGCAGCATTTGCTCTTCCAATCAGTTCTGTAGAAAAGCCTGTATATACTGATCCACCCGTAAAAACTCAGTACGGTTATCATATAATCATGGTTGAAGCCAAGAAATGATGATTATGTCAAAATTTTTCAATAAGGCCGTTTTCAGTAAAGAAAAATCATTAAAACTATTCATGAAACACTGATTTACGATTATTTCTTCTATACCTGTAAATATTTGACTCTAATTTTTGAAGTTAGAAAACAGATTTTAAATTAATTAAAGAGCACTAACTTGACAATTTGTGATTGAATTCACGTTTGTAATGTTATTTGTCTTGTTTAGTATTTTGACCAAAAAATCTATTTAAAGACAAAATATTTTTGGAACTTTCCCCTTTTGTAAAAAGCGAATAAAGTAAGATTTTTTGACGAAATTCATTCGTATCTAACGATTTATTCTCAACATTTCTCTTTATGCGCGGTCAGTTTCATTCAGTCAATATTAATCCCAGCCAGATTATATTAGCATCAAAATTTAATTATACTGGTGCACGTCTATATTTAAGCTTACGTCTATTGTTATATCCGAGCAAGTTATTACAGTCATAAATTGTAGTGGAATTTTGTATGTGGTCACAATGTATATCTCAACTATACATTTTTTAAATGTAATGCTTCACCGATAATATTACATATACATATCAGAGTGTTTTATATCTTTCAACTAAAAGCAGGATGGTTTTACTGATTCATTTTCACCGACAATTGAGCATACTTTTAGAATTTACAGACTAAATAAAAGTTTTGCACTCGCTAATGGATTGTTTCTGTTTGATCAATTTTTGTGCTGTTATCTCGCCCTTTCTCGTTTCATAGGTTTATTTTTTTAGCGCTGAAATTTGAATTCCGAAAAACTTTTAAAAGACATACTGAACAAGTAAGATGTCATGATCATAATGCTTCGCGGCATTGCACTTCCGTTGCTGTATGTTGTTAATACGAGAAATCTTGGAAGATATACTGTGTATTTTTCTTTCTATTTTCTTTCTCAAAAACCCTAACTTTAGTTTGTCACCATTACTTGTATGCAGTATATTTTTAAAATAAATAAAGTAAAAGTCAATAGTCTGAAAGTAAATACTTTCAATTAGCACTATGATCTGTGTAACTGAAAAACTATTGACGTAATTCGAAAGTATAAGTTCAGATTTGTAGGCCATTATAGTTACTTTTATTCTGAAGAGTAAATTGTATCGTTCACTCACCACATCTTTTTGAAAAGTCGGGGTTTTTTTCCATTCGTCTATTTGCATCGTTAAATAGCACTTGATTTACGCAGGAAAATGTGCTTTCAGGACTGTACTTCAAGTACAGTACTACAAAAATTTACTTCCTGAGTCGTTATTCGTTCTGAACTGGATCTAAAGATTCTATAAATGATCAGTGTGGTTAGCAGCGTTACGGAGCAAATTCCTTTAGTCACAAAAATAATTTTTGACATTTCATTCTTTTTGCACTGTTCAAATGTTAATCGAAAACAAGCATTATCTCTTAGTTTTGTCTAACTTTGAGATTATTTTTTTCAAAAACAAATACTGTAAAACAACGAAATGTAACCTAAATTTTTGAAACTCTTAGATTTTTTGAACCGTTAAATTTTGCTGCTCAGTTTTCATTTAAAAGATATCAATCACACTACACTGTAACATAGAAATACTTCTGTAAGTAAAAGAATATGAAAAAAAGGTGTAAATTGATATCCCGAAAAAGTAATGAAATAACTTTGTAAAAAATAGAAGAAATTCTATTAATAAGTTAGCATTACCATCGCGCAATTCTTTCTGTTGAACTTCATAAGTCATTATTCAATCAATATATTCAATTGATAAGATCCTCTTAATTTTGGCGGGATTTTTGCAGCAGAGTGCAAGAACGAATTTATATCAGGTAAGAGAAGGGAGAGGATAGACTTTTCTAGAATTATAGTGTGTGATCAATTCGTTCGTCTATAACATTCGAAGCTGCAAGAAGCAATTTGAAAAATTTCTTCTAGGAACTTCGTGAAGTTTTTGAGAATTGCTCTTCACCTTCAGTAAATAATAAAACAGTGCCTCGACAGTAAGGTGGTATCGCTCACTAGCCTCTAAACTTGTTGGTAATTTGGCATTAATTGTTCCAGCAAGTTTCACTTTTAAATTTAATTAGAAGCACAACTTGACGATAAAAATATTGATCGATTATGTATTTGAAATCAAAAAAAAATGAATCCAAACCATATATATGTGTGAATATATTTCAGATGTGGAACTTTGGTTTTCAGCCTCGCGAAAATTGTAAAGTTGTTGATGTTCAAAGCTTGAGGGAACGTCGAGCAGCTGGAATCATACAAGTACGTATGGATTAGATGATTTTCTCAATTTTCGAAATGAAGAATACTTTTCATCTAACTTATAGCATGCATACTATTCAGCTTTTTACATAATCAAACTTTTTCAATGTGTTTATTTCAAAGTTAGATGATGTCACGCTTGGAAGAAGGATGCTTAGAATTCCGAATCGCATTCTATTGCGATATCCTTTGAAATACAAAAGAAAAGAAAATATTAAGTTTTGTTATACTTTTACTATAAGTGCTCGAAAGAACAATAGTGCATATCTAACTATCTACTTAATGTGTCTATTAAATTTGAATTATTTAAAAATTTTTAAAGTTTTAAGCTAAAAATGCTTAAAAAACTTAAATGCATTGAAAAATTTTAGCGAGCTTATCGAGTGTATTTAGCCCGAAAGGAACTGAGAAGATTACGCTTGAAAGCGGAAGAAAGGAGGAGAGCAGCTTGCACAATTCAGGTATTTCTACAAAAATTATTGCACACATTCTTTCTTTGGTACGTCAACCTGCACACTTCTTTCAGCCCATAAAATTAAATGTGAACGTGGAATTTTTTACATTCAAGTTTAGAATTGCGTATGAAAAAATTGATCATGATTAATATCACAAATTATGTTTGGAATGTTTGATTTGAGTTTTACGTGATCTATTGTTTTATTGGAAAAAAAATGTTACGCGATCCATCAAACATGATTATTTTTTAATAAAACATTATCACACAGATTTTATGGTCAACTGCATTTACACAAACACTATATTAAGCAGGAATTGCCATTTATATAATCATTATAATTTCCATCTTCTGTTTGATATCGGTGCTATTAAAAGAAATGAAAGTAAAACATCATTTCAGAAATATTATCGCAGTTATATTAGCCGAAAAAGGAATCAAAAATATCACCAAGCAGCAATTAAAATACAAGTAATATTTACATTAATTAAATAATGGAAAATTTTAAAAATAGCTAGTTGAGATTTCTGACTAGATAAATTCTTCGTGTAAATTTTTTGTAAGCAAAATTTGTATATTTTGGATATTCATCATGTTTGTAATAGATAAATATGTGAGTAATGCATGCAAAATTGGTACAGTAATTGATACCTAATTATATGCAATTAATTGCTCAAATATTAATGAAAACAGATAAGATGAATTATGCGCCATTCAGATTCACAAGGTTAAACAGTCCGTTCTCTACAAAATAAATGATAATCTAAAAATTTTCATAATCATTTGCTTAAAATTTCAGAGTCGAGTT